ACACTGGCCAAAATTGGCGTTTTTTGCATTTTTCACACACAAACAAATACTAACGCTAACTTTGGCCAGTGTTTGTGACCAAATGGCTACTAAAAAAGACTGGACATACCCCATTTGCAATACATTGGGTTGTCTACTATTGCAAATGATATGCCATTATGAGTGTAAATTTCATTCCTGGGCTACTATAAAGTCCCAAAGGCAACGTAACCAATCTGGCGAATTTCAATTTCAAATGTAACGTGCTATATTTGACCCTGTAACTTCCCAAAACACCATAAAACCTGTAGATAGGGGGTACTGTTTTATACGTGAGACTTTGCTGAATACAAATGTGTATTTTATTGCAGTAAAAGCAAACAGTATTATGACATTGACCGTTAAAATGTCATGTAGAACTAAAAAAAAACAATCTTATTTTCTCCCATTTTTTCATATTAAATTGTTTCATAGCTAAATATTTGATATTAAATGAAAGCCCTGTTTCCCCTGAATAAAATGATATATAATAAGGGTGTATTTAATATGAAAGAGGTGAATTACAGTTGGACAGACATGTAGCGCAAATGCCAGGTTTTGTTTACATTTTGTTTCGTTCACAACGTGTACATTTGGCTCCGTCCTTAAGGGGTTAAAAAACAGGAGTTCAAAGGTGTTTTGTTTTGTTTTTTTAAATATAATTTAAAGGAAGTAGTAATTTTGATATTACTTTGTTGGGAAAATTTCTGAATGATTTAAAGAGAAATAAAAGAAAAACTAAATATAATACCACCTATCCTCAAACTCTTTTCAAAGTCCTGATTTAGACCATGTGGAACTAATGTATTAAATAATCAAGTAATAAAGAAATATTGGCATGTTTTAAGAGATGACCCTATTTTCCAACAGCCATTTACCAGCACAACCAAGAATAATTATATAGAGGGTGTATTTATCTAAAATATATAGAGGTTGTTTTATCACTGTGTAAAACACAGCATATTGGGGTTATTGGATTGGATTGCGTTCTGACAGGTATCTGGTGAAACGTAACATAAAAGCGAGATCATTTTTTTCAGTTTTAATCATTGCAGGATTTATTCTCTCCATTCTCAAACATCGTTAAAACCACAGAGGCACTGTCAGACAGTTTACTGGTTTTTTTTTTTTTACTAAATTAATAATCCAAAGTAAATTTAAATTGTATGTAAAAAAAGCAAAACTGGAAACATTCTCTGTCAGCTATGCTTTCAGTTCAGCTATTTTAGTCTTGAATTTGAAATTCACTTTGAATTCACTATGACTTCTCACTTTAGTAAATAACTATGCGAGACAGTGAGCTATCTGAGGCAGCATTGTGTTGGGTGGTTGTTGGTTTGTGCTCTGCTTCTGGCAGTGTGTAGTCTTGCTACTAGCTGGTAAAACTGAATATACTAGATAAAAAAAAAAAAAGAGAAGAAATACAGAGACCTACAAAACAATACATAAAACCCCACCATCTTTGATAAAGAATCCAATATATCTTGATTCTCCACCCAGAAAAAAAGATGGATGTCAGGATACCTAAAATTCCTAACATAAATTAAAACAAGTAGTTTTATCACATGACAGGAGGCTTCATATTTTGCAGATCTTTCCTTACTAATTCCATAGAGCAGCAAAGACAAGTAAAGAGAAAACTGAGAACCAATCAAATACAAGCAATGTGTTACGGTACCTCCAGTAATAAATGTGCAAACCGCCGTTTAGTGAATGCTCCCAGTTAGCATTAATGTAGTCTGGTAGCGTATGTAGTATAATCATGCGAACCGCCAGCTAGGGAACACTCCAAACTCCCAAACGGTACCTGTATGGCTCTTTCCCTTCACGAACTCCAAATCCACGAACTGACAATATTAGCCGAACGCCAATATCTTCCAAGCGGCAAATAATCCAAATAAGCAGTCTCTTGTCGCCGGTAATAAAATCCCCCCAATAACAAGACCAAGCTCCGCTTTGAGGGTAAAACACGAACTGATTTACTGTGGGCTACCTGCCCGGTATTTATGCAGGTCTCCCACTTGGTAAGAGGGAGCAGCATAAGAGGGAGCAGGATGCAAAAGCGGAGCGTCTGTCCTCTAGCACTCGTCGGCATGTATTAGCTCGAGAATTACCACAGTTATCCAAGTAACAGTTGAAGCTATAAAAGGAACCATAACAGACTCCCCTAGGGGACCAAATGGGAGACTGGAATTACAGAAAGACATGGGGACATTTTGGACATACATCCCCACAATATTCCCAGCGTGCATCACAGTTCCCTCCCCTCTGCTCGGGGGATAATTGGGAAGTAATTCAATTATCTCCCCGAGCAGAGGCAAATCGCCATTTTAAGTACAAGTCACAAAACACATAAAAATCTATAACTGTATAACTGCCGAACATATTGCATTCGTGTAACACATCCCCAGATAGCCTGGATCTGAGTGCATATTATTGGTGAATAGCGCTCAGATCCCATTCGCATAGTTCAATCGCCATGGAGTCAAAGTCTATTACAGTTCTTCGGTATGCGATTGACTCCATGGGACGGCTATCTGGGTTAAGTCCATTCGTGTTGTTGAATCTCCCGAACGGCCGGCATTCGTATGCTTTTGTCGATTGAGAAGGGGAGGTCGACGGCTTCAGCGGTGTTCGGTTGAAAAAGTGTCCGTTTTCAGATCCATGAAATAATCGAACACCGCTGGTCTTTCGCATGGTTAAAATGGCCGCCGCCTCGTGGTCGACATACGAACGACGACCACCCGGCATTCGGTTTTAATTGAGAAGTGTCTGTGGTTAACCGCAACGTTCTAATTGGGATCAATAGGTTAACCAGCAGCACACTTCTCTTCTGGGTGGCCGTCCGTTCGGTAGTTTCGTTCGACAAAACCAGACATTCCATAAAACAAAACATACGAATGGGAGAATTCATGCAACCGGCAAAACAGGCGAACACAGTACTTTTAGTCCAGACAGATGGGTCTGTCACACAATGTATATAAGAGGTGTGTATAACTGAAGCACTTCCTCTTCCTTTGATGCTCCACCACATGTTAAGTACAGAGTTTTGATTATCCTCTCTGTGTCTTTGTTCATTTACTTATTACTAAAGTTGAGCGAACCCGGACTGTAGAGTTCTGTTTCGTACCGAACATTACGTTTTTTGGACCCTGGACCAGAACACTGACATATCAGTGTATGTTCGGGTTGGATTTAGGTGTTCGGCAATTTAATGGCGCGTTTTGAAAAGCTGCAGGGCAGCCAATCAACAACCGTTTGACTCATGTGCCCTTAGAAGCTATCACAGCCATGCCTACTAATGGCATGGCTGTGATTGGCCAGTGCAGCATGTGACCCAGCCTCTATACATAAGCTGGAGTCACATAGCGCCGCACGTCACATGAGCTCTTGTTCGTGTAGGGAGAGGATGCTGTTCGTGTAGGGAGAGGAAGTGCTAAACTGCTAAATAGTAAATTGGGGGCGTTCTCTTCATATCGAAGAGTCAAATAGAAGCATCAAATAGTGCGGTTACATCGCAATTGTAAACACTCTTATTTTCTGTGTGCTAATCTGCTAAATAGTAAATTTGGGCCCCGCACTGCATATCTGAGAGTCAGATAGAAGTGTCAAATACTGTGTTTACAGCGCACTTTGACAAATTCCCATTTTTTTGCTCCTAAGAAGTACATTTGGGGCGTGCTCTTCATATCTGAGAGTCAAATGGAAGTGTCAAATACTGTGGTTACAGCGCAGTTGCAAAAAATTCTAATTGTTTTGGTGCTTAACTGCTAAATAGTAAATTTGGGGCATGCTCTTCATATCTGAGAGTCAAATAGAAGCATCAAATAGTGCTGTTACATAGCATTTTTAAACATTCATATTGTTTGGCTGCTAAATAGCGCAGTTTGAAAAATCCAAATTGTTTTGGGTGATAAAAAGTAAATTTGTGGTGTGCACTTCATATCTGACAGTCAAATAGAACAGTCAAATACTGTGGTTACAGCGCAGTTTGACCAATTCAAAATGTTTTCGGTGCTAAATAGTACATTTACGGCCTGCACTTCATATCTGACAGTCAAATAGAACCATAAATACCAATATAACAATATTGTAATACGGGGGCAATACCCTCACAAGTCAAACTGAGAGGTCAGTTTATAGGGAAAACTGTTGCCTGGATACAATTCTAAAACAATTCCCATATGTCCTTTGCAGAGTTTACATGCTGGAAAAACACAGGTGCCAACTGCTGTGGCTTTCTGCAGTATGCAGACCAGCAAGGAGGGCAGGGTTGAGGAGTGGGTGGAAGATGATGTGGAGGATGATGAGGTCCTAGACCCCACATGGAATCAAGATCATGCGAGTGACGTGTGCAGTTTGGAGGAAGAGATGCTGGTCGCACAGAGGCACCAGCACAGCATAAGAGGGAGCAGGATGCAAAAGCGGAGCGTCTGTCCTCTAGCACTCGTCGGCATGTATTAGCTCGAGAATTACCACAGTTATCCAAGTAACAGTTGAAGCTATAAAAGGAACCATAACAGATTTAACGAGTCATTCGCAGTTTCGCAGTCCGATGACCGGGACCCAGACACTGTCTGAGCGGCGGTCGGATGACTGGGATCCAGTATGCCTGATGTTGAAGTTAGGATTAGCAGGGCCTGGTGCAGGGTAACTGCATGCCCCCTGGTGTTGAGCACCAGCGTTTGTACGGCCACATACCAGGACCCTGATGCAGCTTCAGTAAAAAGAGTACTGGATACCAGAAGTCATCACCAGACTGATCCGCAACTAGGAACAGGATGTGATATTCACTGTAGCAGCTGTGCGCGCTTTCAGCGTTCTCACCATGCTGCTGCTCGCCTGCCTGCGCTGTAGTGTAACTTTGGCCTTCCCGCTCACCGCCTCATATGCGACCTGCCCACAAGGTGGGACTCCACCTTGCACATACTGGAGAGACTGTGCGAGCAGCAACAGGCGATAGTGGAGTTTCAGCTGCAGCACGCTTGGGTCAGTTGCTCTGCACCAGACTTGCCCTCCAATTTATCATAGTTAAAGGATTTCAAGTGAACTCTAAAGAGTCCTGTTTTATTTGTCGTCACTACCTTCCCGCATCAGGAGTTGGTAATTTGCGCGCCTGCTGCCTTCCTTGGATGTGGTAGCCGTTTCTCAGGCTCCCTCTCAGGAATCGAACCCTGATTCCCCCGTTACCCGTGGTCACCATAGTAGGAGCAGAAAGTGGCATCAAAAGTTGATAGGGCAGGCATCCGAATGCAAAGTCGCCATCACGGGGACGTGCGATTGGCCCGAGGTTCTCTAGAGTCACCAAAGTGCCTTTGCAGCTACTCTGCCAAACGGATCTTCAGTAATAGGTAGGGGATGGAGGGGGCCCTGTGCCGGTCCCTCTTCTTCCTCACAGTACTGCCTCAGATCCTGAGAGATGCCTGGCCAGAAGAAGTCCGGCTGCTGCCCAAATGCCCTGCCAAGGGGATATCGTGAGCTAGTTTCAGCAGCTCTTACCAATACTTCTTGGGTCTGATGTCGCGAACATGAAATTTTCGGTTCGCGAACGCGAACTTCCGCAAATGTTCGCGAACCGCCATAGACTTCAATGGGCAGGCGAATTTTGAAACACACAGGGACTCTTTATGGCCATAATAGTGATGGAAAAGTTGTTTCAAGGGGACTAACACCTGGACTGTGGCATGCCGGAGGAGGATCCATGGCAAAACTCCCATGGAAAATTACACAGTTGATACAGAGTCTGGTTTTAATCCATAAAGGGCAGAAATCACCTAACATTCCTAAATCACAATGAATATGGATTGACACCTGACATATGACATATTGACACCTTGACATATGGATTGACACCTGTCCTCAAAGCCCCTGATACACACTGACACAGAGCAGAATAGAGACTGTTCCCCCTACATAGGGTCACTTGGCAGGTATGGACTGACACCTGTCCTCAGAGACCATGATACATACTGACACAGAGCAGAATAGAGACTGTTCCCCCTACATAGGGTCACTTGGCAGATATGGATTGACACCTGTCCTCAGAGCCCCTGATACACACTGACACAGAGCAGAATAGGGACTGTTCCCCTACATAGGGTCACTTGGCAGATATGGATTGACACCTGTCCTAAGGATCCCTGATACACACTGACACAGAGCAGAATAGGGACTGTTCCTCCTACAAAGGGTCACTTGGCAGATATGGTGTGGTCGTGGGAGGAGGAGGATGACTTCCACCTCTCCCCCTGTTAGATTCCCGTTTTGCTGTGACATCACCCTTATACGCTGTGTAAAGCATACTTTTTAATTTATTTTGCAAATGCTGCATCCTTTCCGACTTGTAATTCGGCAACATTTCCGCCACTCTCTGCTTATACCGGGGGTCTAGTAGCGTGGACACCCAGCACAGGTCGTTCTCCTTCAGCCTTTTTATACGAGGGTCCCTCAACAAGCATGACAGCATGAAAGACCCCATTTGCACAAGGTTGCATGCCGAGCTACTCATTTCCCGTTCCTCCTCCTCACACAGAGCAGAATAGGGACTGTTCCCCCTACACTTGGCAGATATGGATTGACACCTGTCCTCAGAGACCATGATACACACTGACACAGAGCAGAATAGAGACTGTTCCCCCTACATAGGGTCACTTGGCAGATATGGATTGACACCTGTCCTCAGAGACCATGATACACACTGACACAAAGCAGAATAGAGACTGTTCCTCCTACATAGGGTCACTTGGCAGATATGGATTGACACCTGTCCTCAGAGACCATGATACACACTGACACAGAGCAGAATAGAGACTGTTCCCCCTACATAGGGTCACTTGGCAGATATGGATTGACACTGTCCACAAGGACAAGCTGCAGGCTTCCTGGCAGGGCCCATACAAGGTGGTAGAGCAGGTTTGTGATACCACCTTTGTGATCGGTGCAGTCACAGGCACGGGAGGCAAGCGCATGCTCCATGTGAACATGCTCAAGCCATACCACGAGCGCACGGAAGAGGTAACCGCGATCTGTGCACCTGCCACTGAAGATTATGATAATTTGCCACTCCCAGATCTCCTAGACCTAGAGGGCCAGAGCGGAGACCTGGGAGAAGTACAGTTAGGAGAACGGTTAGACCCCCAGGAGCGAACCCAGGTCCAAAGACTAATCCAGGACAAGGGGGCCACGTTTTCCAACCTACCTGGGTACAGTCCGTTAACCACTCACAAAGTTGAAACCCTAGACCAGACCCCACTTCGCCAAACCGCCTATCGCATACCCGAAGCAGTTAAAGAAAATATTCAGAAAGAAATTGAGGAAATGATGCAGTTAGGGGTGATAGAACACTCTGACAGCCCCTGGGCCTCCCCGGTAGTACTAGTACCGAAACGGGACGGCACAACCCGTTTCTGTGTAGACTACCGGAGGCTAAACGATAAAACAACCTCAGACGCCTACCCTATGCCCTATGGATAGACTAGCTCCTAGACAAAATGGCCAGAGGCCAGTACCTCACCACAATAGATCTGTGCAAGGGGTACTGGCCGAGGACGCCATCCACAAGTCGGCATTTGTCACCTCGTTTGGCCTGTATCAGTTTAAGGCCATGCCATTCGGGATGAAGAATGCACCGGCTAACTTTCAGAGGATGGTAGATCAGCTACTGGATGGGTTTCAGGAGTATGCCTGCGCCTACTTGGAAGATATAGCCATTTTTAGCTGCTCCTGGCCCTAACACCTGACCCACATAGGAGCCGTACTATATAGGAACGCGTAAAAACCTCCCCAAGATAGTAGTATGGGCCCCAGAGTGTGAACAGGCCTTCCAACAGCTCAAGACGGCGCTCATTAAATCACCTGTACTTTCTGCTCCTGATCCAACTAAACGCTTTCTCGTCCATACAGACGCTTCTATGTTTGGATTGGGAGCAGTACTGAGCCAAGTCGGAGCAGATGGCGGCGAGCAACCCGGGGTTTATCTAAGCCGGAAACTTTTGCCCAGGGAAGTAGATACACTGCCATTGAAAAGGAGTGCCTGGCGGTGGTGTGGGCCCTCAAAAAGCTGCAACCTTACTTGTATGGACAACCGTTTACCTTACTCACAGATCACAACAAATTTGGGGCACTGCGCGTGCAATCTAATGTGCCACCAGATAGGAGTGGTGTGTTAAGTAGTACTATTCTTATCAGTTTAATCCCTGTTACGTCCCCTATCCGTTGATGTGGAGCAAGACGCAGCAGCAGAAGAGGACTCAGCCGAGGAGGTTATGGAAGAGGATGGAGTAGGAGCAGTAGAGGAGGTGGCAGCAGGCCTGCCTGCAAGTCATGGCGGTGTCACCAACTCCTCTGCAGAGCCACGCATTCCATGCTTGGCAGCCGTCAGCAGGTTTGCCCAATGCGCAGTGTAGGTGATATACCTGCCCTGACCATGCTTTGCAGACCAGGTATCAGTGGTCAGATGGACCCTTGCCCCAACACTGTGTGCCAGACATGCCATTATTTCCTTTTGCACAATCGAGTACAGGTTGGGGATTGCCTTTTGTGAAAATAAATTTTGTCCGGGTACCAGTGAGTGAGTGGTGGCACTGGGCACAGTATCCACTGTGAGCCTGACACACCCGCTGGCAGACAACTAACTGCTATTCAATCTATAACAGTGAAAAAAGTTTTTGGGTTTTAAATGCAAGCTATTGTGACACCAGTGAGTGAGTGGTGGCACTGGGCACAGTATAGACTGTGAGCCTGACACACCCGCTTTGAGACAACTAACTGCTATTCAATCTATAACAGTGCATGCTCCACACGCTGAAGGCCTGACACCTGCTTTAAGGACACTGACTGCTATTAGCTTTCACTGAAAAACTTTTTTCTTTGTAAAAGCACGCCATAGAGACACCAGATATGAGTGGCAAAGTACACAGGCATAGGTCTGCAGAGCACACGCTGAAGGAAGCCTGACACCCAGACGCTTGCAGACAACTAACTGCTATTCAATCTATTACAGTGAAAAATATTTTTTTTCTTTTTACATGTCAAGCTTAAGCTATTGTGACACCAGATATGAGTCGTGGCACTGGGCAAATGGGCACAGTATCCACTGTGAGCCTGACACACCCGCTTTAAGGACACTGACTGTTATTCAATCTATAACAGTGAAAAAAGTTTTTTATTTTTAAATGCAAGCTATTGTGACACCAGATATGAGTGGTGGCACTGACTGTGCAAATGGGCCCAGTATCCACTGTGAGCCTGACACAGAAGCTGGCAGCAGTGGCAGACAACTAACTGCAATTACATTACACACAAAAAAAAACAGACTGATGTTCTAGCCCTAAAAAGGGCTTTTTGGGGTGCTGTCCTTACAGCAGAGATCAGATGAGTCCTTCAGGACTGTAGTGGACACTGTATACCCTAACCTAGCTATGCATTTCCCTATCTAGTCAACAGCAGCTACACTTTCCCTCCTCTCACTAAGCATGCAGCTTGAGAATGAATATAAAATGGATGCTGTCCAGTAGGTGGGAGGGTCTGCTGGGGGGGTGTGCTGCTAATTGGCTGGAATGTGTCTGCTGACTGTGAGGTACAGGGTCAAAGTTTACTCAATGATGACGAATAGGGGGCGCATCGAACCGCGCATGTGTTCGCCGTCCGCGGCGGACGCGAACACGCTATGTTCGCCGGCGAACCGTTCGGTGCATCACTACTCACAAGCCGTGTCGTTGGGGAGCCCATTGAAAAAGTGCTCTAGCATGACGAGCTAGGTGATCTCCGGGAACTTGGCTTGATGGGAGTTGAGCCAGTTCTGGGTGGCCCTTGTGATGCGGCTTGCCCACTCCGCATGGGAGTCCTTCTCTCCTTTACGGATCTCCCTAAACCTTCGGCAGGATTGCTCGGGGTGACCTAATACGGGCCAGGAGGATTTGTGTAATAAAGGGATAGTCTCTGATCTGCACTTCTGGTGCAGCCCGGTAAATATCCACTGCCTTTCCCTCTAGTTTGCTGGCCAGGATGGTAACCCAGTCGCTGGGGTCCACATCTTTGAGTAGGCACTGGTGCTCAAAGTCTTGTAAAAAGTAATCAATGCCTTCTTCTGCTTCCTTGAACTCTTTGAAGGCATTGTATGGTAGCTTGTGGGCCAGGGTGGTTGTGCTTCCCGGTGCCCTCTGCTCCCTTCTTCCTTCATCTGGCTGGGGTTCGTTGCCTCACTGCGTGCCTGGTCGTTCTCCATGAGCGCAGCAGTCAATTCGGCCTTGTTACGTCCATCAGGCATTATTCCTCTAGCTCCACACAAGTCCTGCAGTGTAGGTCGCTTTAGAGCACTTTAGTCCATGGGTCTGTTGGCATGGACATGGATCCCACCGATTGCCACCAATTGAAGCAGGACCTGGGTAACCGATGGTTCAGCTCACCGCCTCATATGCGACATGCCCACATGGTGGAACTCCACCTT